TTCTCCCAAATTCTTGTCCATGAGTTTGAAAATTGTATACGTGTAATTATATAATTGTATATACATAGATAAATACCCAATCCCGGTAAATGCTCAATTTTTGGATAGAAAATAAAAATAAAAATAAATAAAGAAATAAAATTTCTTTATAGATATTAATTCGGAAATATTGTGATTAGGTTCTTGATTGTCTTGTGACCTTCGCACTTGGATTAAGCCTTCTGTCTTGTGTAATTAAGGTAAGTAAATTATGGTAATGCCCTTAAATTTTTTAAGCATATTTTAATTGTTTTTTGAGATGGTGGCGAGGCTTAAATGGATTTAATTGCATTTGGGCATGATTAAAAAAGGGAAATTGAACCTTTATTATTTTCCTTATTTTCTAGAATTGAGCATGCCACATGAGATTCTTCGGTTTATTTTTTTGAAAGTGAGAACGATGGTGAATCGTGGTTTTCTGTAAATCTTGCTGGGTTTTGTCTCCAATGCGGTCATGTTATTAGTGACCCTGCTAGTGGGGGAGGTTTATAAACGCTAGCACATATCGACATGTTAGTGATAGAACCGGTTCGCTCGTGATATCCTACTAGTGGGATTATACACTAGTAATCGTGTGCCTGCCAGTGGGAGGTTTATAACACTGGCCATGACTAATAGAGGAGACCACTACGTGATTTTATTTTGCATTAATGGTTTGTTATTGAAACGCTTTGTTTGTGTTTCAACCGATTATTTGGCATGCTTTAAATTTTGATTTCGGGCACCCATGTTTACTTACTAAGATATTTTATCTCACGGTTTCCTTGTCCACCATTTCAGGTAGTGAGACCCGACGCATGGGGAGCTCGGGGGAGTGACAAGTTAGACGGCTAGGCATTTTTGGATTTAGTTTTGTAGCTAGGCCGCTAATCATCCATGCTGACTTAGGAATTTTGTGTACAGAACTCCTGTAGTTATAGTAAGGATCATATGGATGAATTATAACTCCTTGTACACTTTGACGAGTAAATATATAGAAAAAAAAAA